GGCTGCTACCCAAGCTCTCGGTTTCTTGTATCACTAATTTTTTTACAGCTCCTTTTGTTATTGAGAAGATGCTACAGTAATGTTCAATCTGAGCATACCACTTTCTAACTGAGGCCCTCTGGGCCACCCTGTCAGGTGGGGGGGGTCCTAGTACTGACTGTCTTAATAACTTTGAAAGGGCCTCTCAATACAATCAGTTGTTGTCGTGCAATTTTTTCCACTTCTATGAGAGCTAAGCTAACCACAAACAATACTTTTTCCCAGTTAGTGTATCTCTTCTCAGGATCTTTGAAACCCCAGGAATAAAAACCAAGAGGCCTTGTTGGACCCCTAGGACCCCGCTGCCAGCCCTGTGTACTGACAGCCCTGAGGAGGCAAGTGCCCATTCCCACTGCCAGCCCTGTGTACTGATAGCCTTGAGGAGGCAAGTGCCCATTCCACCTGGAAAGGACCTGTAGCATGGATAGGGCTCAGTGCTTGATGAGCTGTTGCTTCAAAATTCAGCAATTGCAATGCTTCCTTGTGAGAAGGAGTCCAATTCCATTTCACCCCTTTCCTCAGCAACTCATAAAGGGGAACAAATGGGTCGTTCTTGTTACTAAGAAATCTATCTGTTCCTTCTACAGGAGATATAGCTGCTATGGTTATTTGAAGAAGAATTGCTGTGGGTTTAAGTGATTCTGGAAGGCCTCGAATTAAAGGGGGCATAATGTCAGACTTTACAGGTAATTGCATGGGTGACTCATAGCCTGTAGTTAATTTTGTTTCATGTATTATTTGCAAGCAGGCAGCTTTGTGAATGTTTTCATTCAGGAAGTTGTTCGGGGGTACCAACTATGGCTAAAGGGTCTCCCCTTTCCAAGGGGTTCATTCCCCTGGCTCATAAAGCTGCACACTGTGTCAGGGACCATGTGTGATGCTTATCTCCTGATGTTAAGAAAACTCCATGTCCCCAATATCTACCGGCCTCCTGTTCAGACAAATCAATTTGATGTCCCCCAGCGCGAGACACTCAAATTACGTACTCTGTCTCTGCCCTTACTCCTTTTTTATGTGCAAGTCAAGATCTTTGTCATCGATATAGTTGTATTCTGTTTTAATTAGAGGTCTCAAGCTACAACAGCAGTGTTCCCCACAATTTTTCATCAGAGTTAATTATTTTTGAGGGTAATTTTGATTAATGTGAGGAGTTTCCTTCTCCTCTGCCTCTGTTGAGGAATCAGCATTCTGTGAATTCTTAAAATATTCATCTCTCAAGGCAGCCCATAATAAATGATTTTCATTTCTTTGTTCATCTAATTGCTTTTGCAAAATTTACACTAAGTTTTGAAGGGAGTCTATTATTGCTTTTTCCTCACTTCTTCACTTAAGGTGACTTTCTATAGCTGCTGTAAGACAAGCTCCCAAAACTGAGCATAAAATATTTTTATTTTTGCCTAGTTTAAATTTTGTTTCATGTTGTAAAGAACATACTCTATCAATAACATTTTCCAAATTAAACCAGTTACTTTGTGCCCATTCTTCTCCTCCTGGAGAAGGTTTGGCATTATGTTTAGATAGTAGAGCATAAAATTCAGCTTAGCTTTTGCACTGAGGTTTTCAGTCATTTTGTGAAGGGACCAGAAAACCACTACAGGGAGGTACAGACTTAAGTTACACAACCACACAGCCTTTGCTGTGTTTCCCTTCGCTTCCCTGGGTGGGTGAAGAGACCAAATCTGCCTGGGAGGTACTCCTTAGTTACTGGTTGTCCCTTTGCTTCCCAGACAGTGCAGATTCACACATACACAAAAACAGTTTCCCCTTTTTGCACTGTGAGTCTCTTACACCTGTTTAGCTTGCAATCCTCTGCACAAGTGAGAGAAGCCCAGGATGAGGGTAGTGTTCAACCCAGGACCCGTAGAGCAATGACCTAAGTAGTACTTAGCTGACTGGACATACTCTAGTTGATTAGTCTGTTCCTTCCCCTTACATTACAAGTGACATAAATACAATCTGGGGGAAAGCTAAAGTAACTGCTGCTGCTGTTACTAAGAGAATTTTCAGCACTATGTGGTTCACAATTTTTTTTTTCAGGTTTAAGCATGATTCTCTGCAAACCCCACATGACCCTTAGCCTTCCCTCAAGATGCCACTTACATTTTCTTACATTTTTTTCACTGGCCAGTATTATTGGTGAAACACAATTGTTCTACTCACACTTCAGCAGATGCTTTTCAAACCCTTCTATTCCATAGCTGAATAAACAAACAAAAAATAATATTCTGTCCTTCTTATGAACTTCCAAAGATCATGTTAAAATTTCATCCTCCTAGAATTTGACAGACAAGTGCCTACAGATAAGCTGGGGATTTCCATGTGCACAATTATAGATTTTGGGTGGTGAAAGTGCAGCCAATAGCCAACCCTCTGACCTTTGCATGGTCCTTTAGCATGTCAATGTCTATGCAGAAAATAAATGGTGTAGATGCATGGCTAAAAAAAGATCAAGGCCAAGTCAAAGTTGTGATTAGACAGTCCCAAAGAAATCCTGGTTTTAACATAAAGAGATGTTTTAGTGTTAATTCAATACAGCTTAATACATAGATATTGCCTATATTCATAGTCACAAGCATACATATATATTATGGTTTTAGTGGTATTCTGGCTTTAAAAAAGGTAGGTAGCACAAGCTTTGATAAAAGCACTGTGCCAAGAGGGCAGTTCAGAAATCATAGCATTGAAGAGTGTCCTGCATTGGGGGGGACCCACAAGGATCACTGAAGTCCAGTGGAGTAAGTGCTGTGGAGGGAACAGTCAGGTATTGTCTGCTCTTGGGGGGGTTCTGTGTGGATTGCTGATTTTCTCTGTCAGAAGTACTGTTGCTGTTAGTGCTTGTTTTCTGAACTCATTGGTGTTCCAGTAAATTGTTCTTACCTCAACCTGTGATCTTTACCTCTTATGCTGCCTGTTCTCCTCTCCATCCCACTGTGTGCTGGGGTAGGATGGAAAGGGAGGACAGTGAGGACATAGTTTCAATAGAAGTGGAAGCAAAAGCAAAAAATTGGGGAGTACCATTCCTAAATAACAACACCTCTCAGCCACCTCTCCTTCAGGCTGGACAAGCCAAGTGACTGCAGCCACTCCTTGCACTCCTTGCTTCTTCTCAACACCCTTCACCATCTTTGTAGCTCTCCTGTGGATATTCACTAATAGCTTTATAGCCTGCCGATATTGGGGTGCCCAGAACTGCCCCCAGCACCTGAGGTGAGGCTGCTCCAGTACAGAGCAGAGCCCAGCAGAGCAGGACAATCCCCTCCTTGGCACAGCTGGGCCTGACACCCCCTAGGACACAGCTGGCCCTCTTGTGACTCATATCCAACTTTCTGTAGACCAGAATCCCAAGGTCCCTTTCCCCAGTGCTGCTCTCCAGTGTCTTGCTCCCCAGTCTGTCCATACATGTGGGGTTGCCTCATCCCAGGTGCAGAATCTGGCAGTTGTTTTGGTTAAACTTCTTACAAATACCTGGAGACAGTAGAAGACAGCAATGGCACAGAGAGAATGTAGATTATAATGAGAAAAATTTATACAAAGACTTGTGAGAATGTAGATTATAATGAGAAAAAAATATGCTAAGACTTGTAGAATTAGGGCAAAGTACAAGAGTTATTCAAGCATAAGAGAACTGTGTAACTTGCAGCCAATGAACACTAACTCCTTTGTTTGCTGAAATGTATTTATAGTAAAAAGTTTTCATAGTTACCATGCATTATTTATGGAAGACCATTGAGCACCCAGGCTTGTGCAATTCTGAAATAAATTGTGTATCTTGAGCGTTTAATTATTGGCATGTTGCACACCAAGTTATGAGTCTGATTTTTGTGGACAGTAACAGGACAAGGGGAAATGGATTTGAGAGGAATAGCGGATTTTTCTTTACAAACAAGCTGTGGGTCTGCTGGTAGATAAAACTAGCACTGGGAGATAAAAGAAACAATGGGAAGGATTCCACTGATTGATTAATGGAAAAAGATATTTGCTTTTACAAATAAACTTTAGGTTTGCTGAAAAATGAAATTAGAATTAAGAGATGAAAGAAACAATGGGGAAGAAAACCCCCTAAATTCTGTAAGAATTAAAAATTAAAAGGGAGTGTTATAAATTAGAGGGAAATCTTTGGGATCAGGCGTTCCGGGAAGTCTGTACCTCTCAAGTACCTCAGCCAATGGGGAAAGAGAGAAGGGAAATTAGGATAAAAAGGAGGCTGCATCCTCCAAAAATTTGAGCGATCCCAGGGCAATGCCCCATGGCCTCTCCCTTTATTCAAATAAAGCCAGAAAGGACTCCTCTGTCTCCTTTTTGGACATGAACCTCTGGTGTTTGTGGAGTAATTTTCCTAACAGCTTCAAAATGAAAGCAAGCAGATTTAGATTGGGTATTGGAAGAAAGCCTTCCCTGTGAGGGTGGTGAGGCCCTGGCACAGGCTGTCAAGAGCAGCTGTGGCTGCCCAATCCCTGGAAGTGTTCAAGGCCAGGGATGTGTTTGGACGGGGCTTGGAACAATCCAGCCTAGTGCAAGGTGTCCCTGCCCATGGCAGGGGTTGAAACTGGATCAGCTTCAAGGTCCCTTTTGACTCAAATCACGGTGTGATTCTATGATGCTTAGTTTTCCTATCTGCGCATTGTGCTTCCATTTAGAGAAGTAGGTACTAAGTGAAACGCCTGACAGGAGTCGGCTCAGTTTTATGACGTTTATCATCGGTGGCCATGAAAACTCCGCGCTGTTCCTGGAACTTCCATCGCAAAGCGTACCGAGGAACGCCCGGGCGACGGTCTCCTGACCTGGACACGGAAAGGAAGAGGGAGCCCCCCCCACTGGTCCGGTGCTCCCCCGGCGGCGAACCCGGCCTGGCCTAAGGGGGGCCCCGCGGCCTGAGGGGCGGCCCGGCCCCGGCACCGACCCGTCCGGCCCCGCGCATGCGCGGCCCCGCGCTCCCGCCGTGCCCCGCGCGCTCCCGCCGCCGCCGCCCGCCGCCGTAGCCGCGCACGGAGCGGAGCGGAGATGGCGCTGCACGTCCCCAAGGCCCCGGGCTTCGCCCAGATGCTCAAGGAGGGGGCGAAGGTGAGACCGCCTTAGGATGGACGCGCGGATAGATGGACGGACGGGTGCGGGAGGAGTCTCGGGGTGGCGGTGCGGGAAAAGCCCCGGCAGGCCTGCAGGGCCCGGCGGCACCACGTGTCCCGCGGGGCGGGGGCAGGGGGTTCGCGCCGTGCCGCGCTCCCGGCCCGGGGCTGCCCCCGCTCCCGGCCCCGGGCGCTGCGGGGATCGGGGCCTGCCCGCCCTGCGGGGCGGCGCCCGGCGCACGCGGCCTTCCAGAAATCTCTGCGGGCCGGGATCGCGCTGCCCGCCCTGCCCTGGGCCTGGCCCTGGCGCTGCATCCCGGCCCCGGGATGCGCCAGGGCCCGGCTCTGGTCCCAGAGCTCTGGCAGGGGCTGGGCAGCAACATTCAGCCTGTAGTTGAAGCTGCTCAGAAGTATCCGGGTCGTTCTCAATTTTTTTTTCTGGTACCTTTGTAATCGATGCAGAACAATGAAATGTTTTCTATATATTTCCTTGCCAATAAATCCGGTTTCACTGTATTTAATGTTAACATAATTAAGATTTTGGTAGAGTTGAAGGACTGTGTTTTAATAAAGGAGAAGCTTTCTTTGAAAAGTGGGCAGAAAGCAAGAAGGTGTGGTGTTTTTTCTTTTTTATTCATAGAATCAGTAGAAGAGTTTGGATTGGAAGTAACCTTAAAGATCATTTAGCTCTAAGCCCCATCTGGTCTTGGACATTTCCAGGATTGTGCATCTACATTTTTTTCTGGGAAATCTGTGCCAGGGCCTCACCACCCTCACAGGGAAGAATTTCAGGGCTTCCTAACACTTAATCTAAACATACTTTCTTTCAATGTGAAGCCATTGCCCCTTGTCCTGTCTCTCCAGGCCCTTATCCAAAGTCCCTCTCTCCAAGAAAGAGGGAAAATAGGAAAGTTTTCCATTTGCTGCTACTTTATAGAAAGAAGAGTGAAGGTAGCAGCTCTGAAAGCCCTTTGTGTTTCTTCTTAGAATCCTTCTTGGAGCCAAATAACGGCAGACGTTCAGGGCAGGGGCAGAACAGGGAAGCAGAGTGGCCTCAGTGGTAGAAAATTCAAGGCCAGAACAGCAAGAGTTGTTTTCTGCAAAACGAGGAGGCAGCTGGCACTCTTAAGATGTTTGGTTATTGCTACTTTTCTCCCTTCTCTAACAGGCTGCACAGTAATTTTTATCCTACTTTTTCTTTCTTAAGATCCTTTCTGGGGATCCCATCTTGTCTTAAGGTTTCCAGACTGAAGCCAGGCTGATTGCCTTCTCAAGCACAGATATTTTGCTTAATCATTCTGCTTCTGAATTTTCAAACTGCACATGTTTTGAATGTAGCACTGAGTTAAATTATTTTTGTAGCATACAAAGGTGCGAGTAAAGAAGCACGTACAGAAACCCTTGCCCCTCTCCAGCTGGGTCTTGGTTGTTTTCTCTTTCTTTTTGGCATGTCACAAAACTTTTTTGGAAGACTGTGGGGATGCAAACTGTATTGCAAGTCAAGTCACTGTTCACATTTTTTCTTTGGAAGCTTTTTGTGCCTGCTGAGCTGCCTAGTTGAGAAGGTGTACACAGTAGCTCTCACTGTCTTTGGGTAAGGTTTGGTGTCTGTTTAAACTGTATGTGAAATATCAAATGTATATTAATAAGAAACTTTGAGGGACTCAGAAGATTGACACTGCTTTGATGAGAAATTACTAGTTCATCACTTTTTTTTGTTAGCCTAATTCTGATCATTGTTCTCTTTAGCATTATTCAGGACTAGAAGAAGCTGTCTATAGAAACATCCAGGCATGCAAAGAACTTGCTCAAACCACCCGTACAGCATATGGACCAAATGGTAAATAAATCCTAAAATTATTGCTGCATTTTTGAGACAAATGCTATGTTTGGAGGCTAAACATACCCTGACAAAGAAGCAGCTGTTTGTTTCTGGGGGAAACACATTGGACTTGCTCTAAAACTGCAAATATGTGACTGTTTCTTTGTGACTGTAGAAAACAGATTTTGTTTTGACTGCTCTTGAGTAATGCTCAAGAGTTCAGTTGAGTTATGCTTGAGTTATGCTTTTGCCAGGTTTTTGTAGCAGTTACTGTGTTCTCTTTGAAACACGGTATAAAATATATGAAAAAGCATAAAAATTAAAGGAAACATGGTAACATGGTAGGTAGTCATAGTGAACATAATCTTGTTCAGTCAGATGGTTGGAAACAAAATATTCTCCTGTATCATTTAATTAAATTATGTGCTGGAATTTCAGAACAGAAAACTGCTTATTCAGAAATTACTGATTTTTCCTTAATGTCCTACACTTCAAGTATTATTTCACAAAAATGTTTTGAAGTTCTTAAATTAGAAACAGAGCTAACCATTTTAATGTGCAAGATACACCTGAAAGTTAGGAGACAGTGTCTGTGTACAAAATACTATTTGCATAAGGAATTATTTTTATCAATTGTTTTGTTTTCCCATTTAGGAATGAACAAAATGGTTATCAATCATCTGGAAAAGCTTTTTGTTACAAATGATGCTGCTACTATCCTGAGAGAGTTAGAGGTAAGTTTTCTTGCTTCAGTCAGGTGAGAACCAGAGTTTCTGCTCATGGGCTGTTGTGATTCTGACTGTCAGTAAGGAAAGGTCACTCTGACAGATTATTTACATATGTCACTTTGGAACTCATTTACTTTTTTCACTGAATTTGAGGTCCACAGTGAAGAATATAATTCTTTTGTGAAGCAGCATTAATAATTGTAGGAGATACTTAATAATTCCTTACTTTCCCCCAAAACCAGTAGGTTTAAAAGAGGCTATGTCTAGAAATGCAGTGGTTTGGAAAAGTCTGCCTGACATAGCTGTTGAGTTAATCTCCCAGTGTTGTTGCTTGACATGTTCTCCTGACTACTTAGAATCCATCAATTGAATTTAGGAATCTGAGGCTGTAGCAGCACACTTCTGTAAATACTGTGAAGGCATGAAAAGACTTTCCTAATTCTTCCTGCGACTTCAAATTTATATTTGTGACATAACACAGATATTTTACTGAATTTTATACTTAGTGATAGAGACTGTGTAAGTATGAAGTATTTACTTATTGAATACATTGTGTTGGTGTTCAGTATGAGTAAAGTTACTGTGGAAGTCTCAGTTCTGTTTTTAAAAAAATATAATCTGCATACTAGTGACCTGCTCTGATATGTTTTGCATGTTACTTTCAATCAAATGGCAGGTATAAGTATTCAGGAATTTGGTATTTTATTGCATTTATCTATTTGAAAGAAAAGTGAAGCAGTGCAATCTTTAAGCAGAACCCTCCCACACTCTGCCCTCTTAAAATGAGACTGTTATTTATATGTGTATTTTGTATATTACACATGAATTCAATCTGAAGATCTAAACTCCAGAGTGTTTTCCTGTTGCAGAAATCAGTTGTGGAGCCACTGCATCCTGTGAAAGTAGCTCAGAACCAATGTCAAGGATATCTAATTTATGTTGTAGTGGCAATGTTCAGTTCTCTGATTTTTTTTTTTTTTAATATATATTTCTGCTTTTTCTTACTGGAGAAGTTAGCCAATTAAGAATATCTGTGTGGCTCTCTTTTCCAATTTCGTGCATTCTTCATATCTCTAGGTACAATTTGAGATATCTAATATCAGTTTTCCAAATAAGAGAGCTTAGAAAGATGCATAGGAAGTGCCTGAAGCTGCAGTCTTGGGTGGTGTGTTTGTTAGTCACCAAGATGTGTAATTTCTTTTAAAGGTCCAGCATCCTGCTGCAAAAATGCTTGTGATGGCTTCACACATGCAAGAACAAGAGGTTGGAGATGGAACAAATTTTGTCCTTGTTTTTGCTGGAGTTCTTCTGGAGTTAGCAGAAGACCTTCTGAGGATGGGGTTGTCTGTCTCAGAGGCAAGTTATATTCTCATTACAGTTCACAGAGCTTGAATCCAGATGGCTGTTTATCAGTGTTCTTGGGTCATAATACTGTGAAATCATCTGCTTTCTTCCCACCTAGTTTTTTACATAAAGATGTTTGAAGGGGAACCATGTGTTCTGCTGATGGCTCGCTTCCCTTGTAAACTTGCATCTGTTAAAGTTTTATGGCTATTTGAAAAGCAGTTAAAAGCAGTGTGAAGTCTTGTAGTGAATATTTACTGTTTGCTGCACAGGTGATTGAAGGATATGAAAAGGCTTGCAAGAAAGCCCTAGAAATTCTTCCAGATTTGGTGTGCTGTTCTGCAAAGAACCTTCGAGATGTTGAAGAGGTGGCATCTTTGTTGTACACGTCAGTCATGAGCAAACAATACGGCAATGAACGGTTCTTGGCAAAGCTTATTGCTCAGGCCTGTGGTGAGTGGGGCTGGAACAGCTGAAAAACTGAGTGGGTTTGGTTATGGTCCTTACATCTTCATGGAAGATAGGAAGGATGGTTAGTTCAGCAGGTTGGGTTGGATGGAATGCTTTTCCTCTGAAATGAGGGTAATATTCCTCATGTTGAACTCTGCGTTGGCATTGTAGCTCAGAAAAGGTTTGCCTTTCCTACTAGGCATTTCTAGAAATAGCTTTCAAGCCCTTTTAGTGCAGAAATCCATCTTTCTCCCTCTTTTTACATCATAAGGAGGACATATTGTCCTTCACATAAGCTGGTTCACAGCCACAGAACAATGGAAGTAAGACTGTAGTTCTGTTAAGTTGTTATCCCTGTAGATTTTTGGGATAGAACCTTCATTTTTAATTCAGTGATTTCTCTAAATATTCTGGGTTAGACTTACCTCTTGACTCCACCTGTATGAGTGCATATTTGAACAAAATTAACTGAGCAGCCTGAATAAATGTTTCTTTCTGATTATTACATTTTAAAAACAAAATTTCTCTTTCTCTTTATGCCAGTTATTAGCAAGTTATAATTGTCTTGAATTTAGGCAGATATCTCAAACTACTGAAATCAAGTAGATCAGAAAAATTCCAGGCATTATTGATGGTGTCATTGTTCTACTTTATTCATTAGGCAAGACATATTCATTATTTTTCTTCTTTTTTTTCACAGTTTCTATTCTTCCTGATTCTGGTCATTTCAACGTTGATAATATCAGAGTGTGCAAAATTGTGGTAAGTTTGAAGTAGCTGGCTTTACTGTAATTATTAAGGTAAATAGTGTAAAGAGGGTTCATCTTTGAACTTCCAGAGAGTCTTTTCTCATTTTGTTGTGGCAGGTGTACTAAATTTTGGAAATTAGTCTTTCTCTTGTTTAATGCCCAGTAGCAGCATTCAGAAACAAAAATCATTAATATTGGAAGTGATCTAAAATATGAGCCTGTTAGACAATATTTGTTGTTGCTGAATGAGCTGAAGTCTCATGCTTAAGGTGTTACATACATCCAAATGCTTGTGAGGTCTGCTTTTCAGGCAGAGTAGGGCAGCTTTCTGACCACAAATGGTCAGAAATACAATGTTCCCCCATTCACAGAGTCAAATAACAGTTTGGTTTGGGCTGGAATGTGTCTTAAAGATCACCCAGTTCCAGTCCCCTGCCATGGGTAGGGACATCTTCCACTAGACCAGGTTGCTCCAAGCTCTGTCCAGCCTGGCCTTGAACACTTCCAGGGATGGGGCAGCCACAGCTTCTCTGGGCTGCCAGGACCTCACCACCCTCACAGGGAAGAATTTTTTCCTGATACTCAATCTAAACTTACTTTCTTTCAGTGAGAAACCATTCTCCCTTGTCCAGTTACTACTTGCCCTTGTAAAAAGTCTCAGATTCCATTTATTTCCTTTCAGGGTGCTGGTATTTCTGCTTCCTCAGTACTGCATGGCATGGTTTTTAAAAAAGAAACTGAAGGAGATGTTACTTCTGTCAAAGATGCAAAAATAGCTGTGTATTCCTGCCCTTTTGATGGTATGATAACTGAAACTAAGGTATGTTATAGCTCAAAATAAGTTACATCTCTATTTATGCATATGTGCTCTTATTTTTAGACTTAGCTATAAATATTTTCGACACTTGGTGATTGAGATATTTTGGTGAATATTGATTTTCTTAGTATAGAAAAGTTCTGAACCTTGATTGCTTCACAGGGTTTTTGAGATAGGGGAGATGGTGTTGGTTTTTTTGGGTTATTTGAGCCAAACTATGGCTTGAATTTCTGAACCCCAAGGTTGTCTAGAATTGCCTAGTGATTTCATTTTTTTTTCTCTCTGGTTTTACCCTGTTGCTTGGGGGAGCGTGTCAGTATTACGAAACAGGATGACTTAAGGGTTACAGTTAGGTTGGGAGACAACATGGTTTGTCAGAAACTAGTAGGTATGTGGTTTAATGCTGCATTTTCACAGTGTATGTGTTTTACTAGGGCACTGTCCTAATAAAGAATGCTGAAGAACTGATGAATTTCAGTAAAGGAGAAGAAAATCTAATGGATTTGCAAGTCAAGGCCATTGCTGATAGTGGTGCAAATGTAGTAGTGACAGGTGGCAAAGTGGCAGATATGGCTCTTCATTATGCCAACAAGTACAATCTTATGTTAGTAAGGTAGGTACTAGGAGAGCATGAAAACATTTGGACTACCAGATTTATGAAATGTACTTGCCAAGTTAAGACAATATTTTTGCACGTGTTAACATTGTTATGGAAACTTGTTTTTAAAGGTTGAACTCCAAGTGGGACCTGAGAAGACTGTGCAAAACTGTTGGTGCAACAGCCCTACCCAGACTGGTATGTACTTCCCAAATGAGGTGCAGGAGGATGAGAACTGATGAGCAGGTTCAGTTCTTAACTCATGTTTTTCTCTCTAGACTCCCCCCACTCTTGAAGAAATGGGTCACTGCCATAGTGTGTATTTATCAGAGGTTGGGGATACACAGGTTGTGGTGTTTAAGCATGGTATGTATGTTCTGTAGAACTGCTGACACTGCTGTTCTATGTATGTTCTGTAGAACACTGCTGTGCAGTGTTTGTATGTGCTTTGGGTATAAGATTAATGAATTAATTCAGTAATGCATGTCTCTGAACAGAAAAGGAGGATGGAGCCATTTCTACTATCCTCATTCGTGGATCTACAGATAATCTGATGGATGACATAGAGAGAGCCGTGGATGATGGTGTCAATACTTTCAAAGTACTCACAAGGGTAAGTAATGAGAACACTGGGGTTTTCAAAAGTGAGCAGTGGATCAGTTTGAGGCAAGGCTTGAGCCTGCTCTGTGCTCATTTGCTGCCAAAGGCAGGAGATATTAATCTGCCTCGGTGCCTTCTGGAGCTGGAGAGTGGCTGTGTGGTACTGAGGTGTGGAGGGCTGTGTAGAGAAGACTGATTTTGTTGTGAGCACAGAGTACATGGAAGGTGGTGTTTAACATGAACTGCACTCAGTTTTCCACTAATGAGTGAGTGCTTGGAGATGGATTACCTTTACCACTTTTTAAAGACAGTCAGCTCTTTCTTGACTTACTCCCTAAATGTTTTGTAATGTTCCTTGGAAAGCAGGCACAGAAGAAAAGCTAGATAGCTTTGTCACTTGGGATCAGGAGAAACTGATTGGTTGCAAACTCAGTTTCTAGTTCATTGGTGATAATTCATGCTTCTTCCACATAATACAGGTAGGTTTTTATGGATGGAAGAGCTCGGTTTTACAGAGGATTTTTTTGTGTGAGCAGTTTATGTGGTCTTAAATATTATTATTTAATTTTTCTTCTTTTGATACAAAAAGAAATGTTCCTGTATTTACTTGGAAAACAGCATGCAAAAATTGTTAAAACTGTTAGAATCTTAATATCCTCTACATGCCAAGACATGGACATTGATTTTGAGTACAGAAATGTATTCAAATGCTGTGCATTTATGATTGTCTCCAGGAGTTGTCCTTTATTAAGATTTATGATGATTACTTTGTGGGGTAAGAGACCAGAGTTAATAAGTAAATTCTGGTTTGCCAAAGGATGTACAAAATGCTTAATTTAAAATGCAAGAAAACAAAACAAAAAGTCCCAACACCTTGTAATACCTGTTGAGATATTAAACTTAGTGTACAGTAGATTGGTTTCCTGGATGATATTTCCCACCAAAATAATGGAAAAAATGAGAAATTCTAGGAATGCTGTTACAGTTAACCAGGAGTTGAATTTTTTTTAAAAAAGCCAAAAAATCTGAGACACACAACCCACTGCATTATTATTTTGGTTTTTACAAAAGAAGCTGTTTTTCTTGAAAGACATTGGAGCGAATGAGTAAATTCTGGTAGATTTCCCTTATAATGCATGTTTGTTCTGAAGTGGATTCTAAATAAGTCTGTGTGGAATAAAGTTCTGTTGCATTCTTGATAGACTAGAAAAATCCTAAAAAAATAAGAAGTAGTGGATACTTGAAGCAAAACATTGTGTTTTGGTGTGGTCTTTCCACAGGATAAACGTCTTGTTCCTGGAGGTGGTGCAACAGAGATTGAATTAGCCAAGCAGATCACATCTTATGGAGAGGTGAGGCAAATAGCCTTCTTGGCTTTTCATCTTTACGCACACATCTTACAAAAAATACAGATATTATTTCATGCCAACATACATATTTGTGTAATAACAAGTGTGGGGGGGAAATGCCTCCCTGTCTTACAGTTTCTGAAATGCTGATACAGTTTTCACCTTCATTTTAGACTTGTCCTGGGCTTGACCAATATGCTATCAAGAAGTTTGCTGAGGCATTTGAAGCCATTCCTCGAGCACTGGCAGAAAACTCTGGAGTAAAGGCTAATGAGGTCATCTCCAAACTTTATGCCATGCATCAGGAAGGGAAGAAGAACGTTGGATTTGATATTGAGGTAAGTAGTCTCTGATGTTACTTGTTGCCCTGCAGTGCAGGGTTGTACTTCATAGTACTTCTATCAGTATGAAGTATTTATAGATTATTTAAATTGTTGGGAGCTCTGTGTTGCACAGTCTAGAATAATAACTTTTTGGAGTTGAATCTTAAAATGTTCTTTTTATCAGCAGTCAGTTCGGTTCAGTATAGTATAATGGCCTTATGTCAGAGGTGGAGGGGGATACTGAACTAATGTGACAGGCAGTAGGTCTTCAGAAATTACTGACTTTGTCTTCCTGCTAATGGATTAGGAATGAAGGTTTTCTAAAGGGAGAGGATGAGATTTTAGAAAAGTGATACCACCTTGCTAGGTGAAAGCCTGAGAAAGTTTTGAATGATGTTTTTTCCCCATCTGACAGGCTGAAGCTGCTGCAGTGAAGGACATGTTGGAAGCTGGTGTGTTAGACACGTATCTTGGAAAATTCTGGGGTATCAAGCTAGCTACAAATGCAGCAGTAACTGTCCTAAGGGTTGATCAGGTAAGTTTATGTGTATTTGGGTGCTGAATTAAAACCTGGCAGAATCCTCCTGCAAGTAGGTGGAATCTCCTGCAAATGGAAGGTGTAAACATAATGCTACTTGAGAATGTGGTTTGTTCATTTCTGGAAGCCAGGAAGGCATTTATTCAAGAGCTTGTAATCTGGAATGTGGCTGCTTCTATAGCAGTACTGTTAAAGTTTGTTGGGATTTTTTTTTAAGATTTTGTTGATATTTTGAAAAAAGTTTATATTTGTATCCAGAGAGTTACCCTAACTTCTGTAGGAACAAGCATTAGTAGAAGAAACTTCTCTCCTATATTTTTACATGAAAATCCAGTTTTTAGGAAAAATAGAGGTTACGGTCTTGAGGATAAAAATCTTTCATTATTTTGTGAAACTTCAGCAAAAATGAATTTGCATGTAAAATTTTTGTAGATTATTATGGCAAAAACAGCAGGCGGTCCAAAAGCCCCTAAGCAACAAGGACATTGGGATAAGGATGACTGGAAAGATGAGCCTGAAAACTAGAGTGCAGTAAGCTCTGTGTGTCTAGCAGAGAGGTATCTGTGAGTGCATGCATGAGTTCATTGACAAGCACATGGAGATTGTATGCTCCTTGAGAACACGTAACACTGCTGTCTTCTGCTGTGTGCTGATTGCTACATCCTGTATTCGTGCCCTTTGCAAATGGATTCTGCTCCTGAATCCAAATTTTCATGGAAGGGATGATAAGTGCAAGTTCAGATTTGCCTTACTTGTCCATGTAGCCAGGGCAGAGAATGAGCTTTAGCATGGTAGGACTGATGGACTTCATGGTTTTAAAGTGTGATACTTGGAGACAGCAATTGAGAACAATAGCTTTGATAATCCTTTCTGTAGTGTGCACCCTGTAAACTAGTCTGCTGTTGGCCTATTTAAGCACTCACTTTCTGTAGACTAACTGAAGTCTTACTTTGCATGCAAAAATGAGGTAAAATACCTCTTTTTACTGTATCAGGGCTCAGCCTCTAACATTCTCAAGAAAGAAAAAAGCTGTTAATATCTCAATTAGATGGATATTCACTGGCTTGGGTTCAGAGTAGGGAAATTGCATGGATGTAGTGAATGCTAGCAGTCAGCATCATGTGGCTGTAGGAGAAGGGTACAAGCCTGATTTTAACATTAGCTTTTTCTACTTCTCTATTCTCTTCAAGATCATTATGGCAAAACCAGCTGGTGGCCCAAAGCCTCCATCAGGAAAGAAAGACTGGGATGAAGACCAAAATGACTGAACAATTTAACTGTATTTCTTAAGTGACATGACTTTGTGAGTTTTTTAATATCCCAGTTGGAGCCTGTCACAGTGTTTTGCTCTTGCCTTTAAATTATGAACAGTGTCCAATGGAGTGCAGAACTTCAAACACCTCAATAAATGTACTCACTGTTAAAATGTTGACTGACTTCATTTGGAGCTGGCATGACATGTCGTTCCCAATCTGTGAATGTGTAGGGGATGAATGACACTGAGGGTATGATGGGCTGACCCTTGGCTGGCTGCCTGATGCTCTCCCGATGAAGAAGGAGGCAGAACTCCTCAGGGGCTGAGTGAAAGGGGGGGCTCACATACCAATTCCTGTTGCAGGCACAAGAGACTCAATGTGCAGGGAGGCTGACCGTGAGCCTGCTGCAGGGAGCTCATGAGCTGCAATTGTTGTGGCTCTTTGTGCTCTTATTTGTGCTCCTTGGCCAGTACCTGAGTGTAAGTAGTCAAATGAATGTTGAAATACTTAAGTGCTGACAGCAGGTCTCCAGCATTAAGTATCCCCTTTCCTGAGACCCCACTTGGAGCACTGTGTACAGATGTGGTGCCTCAAACATATGAGAGACAGAGCACTGTTAAAACGAGTCCAGAGGAGGGGCACCAAGTTAATAAGGGGACTGAGCACCTTCCCTATGGACAGGGGCACAGAAGGTCAGGGCTGTGTAGCCTGGAGAAGAGAAGGTTGTGTGGAAACCTCACAGCACCTTCCAGTGTCTGAAGTGGCTACAGGGAAGCTGGAGAGGGAGTCTGCATCAGGGAATATAGTGACAGGACAAAGGTGAATGCCTTCAGACTGAAAGAGGGGAAATTTAGGGTTGATACACAAGAAGAAATTCTCCCCTGTAAGGGTTGTGAGGTCTTGGCACAGGTTGCCCAGAGATGCAGTGGCTGCCCCATGCCTGAAAGTGTTCAAGGCCAGGCTGGATGGGGCTTGGAGCAACCTGGTCTTGTGGGAGATGTCCCTGCCCATGGCAGGGGTTAGGAACTGGATGATCTTTAAGGTCCTTTTCCCCCACAAACCAATTTATGATTCTATGATTCATTTTTTTTTACTTGCATCTCTCACCTCACTCTTTTAATTCCCCATGCTCTCAAAAGGGAGTTTGACAGCAGTGAACTGCATCACATTCTAATGACCTTAAAAATAAATGCTGAGCAGCACTAGCCAGAATGATGCAGAGGACTGGAATCTTTCAGCTGAAGCCCTCTGTTAAGATTAATCTTAGGAAGTAAACAGCTTATGTGTCTCCAAGTAGCTTGAAAGGAGAACTGCACTTGAAATCCAAGCCACTTCAATAATTAATCCTTTTACTACTCTTGCCAGCGCTACTCTATCTCACAACCAGAAGGGAGTGGAAGGCTAAATCAAGTCTGGAGCTATCTTATGCCTAAATAAGGCTGCCATACAACAGCTCTACTAATGCTGGCTTTATAGTCAGTTGTTGGTGAGGCTGAAAAATAAACTCAGCAAGTTTTCAGAAGGATTGGCATACTGCTATAGTCAGCTGCACGAGGGCCACTGCTGATGGCTCTAAGGGTTACAAGAACAAGATGCCCATTTCTTAGTAAGGCTCTTGTGAAAAATGCACTGAATGCAAGCAGCTGCTGCTCTAGCTTGGCAGACCCAAGATTTTATTCACATGAAAGCCAACATGAAGCTTGTGGAGAAGAGAGCTTCCAAGTTTCAAGTCAGTGCAGGACTACTGGTCCGTATGCCTGCTGTGTGGAAAGGCTACATGGGGCTGCCTGTAGTGGGAGTGAGCCAAGCACTCAGCCTTGCCAAAGTACCAGCAAAAGAATTCCTGGAGCATTTGCAAACTTGAGAGCTCCTCTATTGGACATAAAGAGAGCTGAAGCTGCAATTGTTTTGGCTCTTAAGATGAAGAAACAGCTTCTTATGTTTGGAACCCAGGTGTAAAAAACACATGGGAACACGATAGCCAAGATTAACTACAGTTCAAAAGTAGAGCCAATTGCTTTAAAGTGAAAAACCTGCTGATCAAGATTTATATCAATACTAGTGATTTGCTCGTTCCTTCTCAGCTATATCTATATATACAGCATCAGCACATTCTCTCAAAGCGGCAGAGGCTGTCGCTACAGCAAAGCGTTTCCAGCTGCAGTTCTGACTGACAGATGTGCCAGGACAGAAGGCATTTGCCAGCCTACCCTCTTTCCTGTGCAACCTGCCATTCGCAGTGCAAATATTTTCACATTCTTTCATTGTCGCCATGTCCCAGCAACTAGAGATTACACAGATGGCAGTGTCAAGACAGATGTTCTCAAAGTACCTCCTTTTCTTAACAGCTTTTAAACTGTGCACAATGCTCTGTATCTTCTTTCCCAGATAGACCTGCCATCACTTTTTCACTCTCATATTGAAATATTTACCAATATAGCCGGATGGGACGTGCCTGAGCTTGTCTGGCCCTTGGTGCTGAACCAAATAGCAGCACTGTGGTGTTTTCACCCCAGAGACACTTTTGGCTAGCTGGGTGCTGCAGCTGAGCACTTGGAGGCAAGTCTAGGCATGCAGGAGCTCTGGTGGTGGTGGGATGGAGCTTCCTCTTGTGAGGTTTACCTCCGGCGGAGAAGCTTTAAAGCGATGGTGAAGGAGAGGAGTCGGGTCTGATGGAGGGTTTCGATCCAGAGCTTTATTCCTGGCCCACAGGCCTCTGAATGCAGCAACAGCTCCAACAGAACTCTCTGAACTGCGTGGTTGCTGTTCCTTTTAACCCCGGGGAGAGGGGGAGGGAAGGGATGGGAAGCCCACCAAAGAGGTACATGAGAGGAGGTCTTAAGGGACAAAAGACACCTGGATGGCCCAATGCCCCCTCAGGGGTAGAGGGCCTCCTTTGAATCTGCCTTCTGGAATTCCAGGATTGACAGACAGTGCTGGGATGGGAAAAGAGAGGTGACTGACACACCTGGGAGGGCATTATCAAGGGAGGGACCCACGGTTCGAGGTAAATCCTGAAATCACAACGCTCTCACATCTTTGTTGCAAACCTCCAGCAGCTGTTTGCACAGAAAAAGGCTCTAGAAATAAAAGCGAGCTTTGGGCTGCACCTTCCGCCTGCCCCACCTAAGCTACATCAAACTCACCAGTGCACTCTGTCCTTCCCTTCTCCGCTGCTTCTACCACTGTGTCCTCTGGATCTTGGAACCTAAAGGTAGGCACAGTTTTTTCCACAGAGGGGTTGGAAGAGGCATAGGTAGCAGCAGAAATAGCTCTCACTGAACTTTAATCCTTACCACTGCCATCATGAGTTTGGTTGGTGGGCCAGTAAGAGTCATGCTCATTTTACAGCCCGGTGCCCTGTGGCTTCGTTCTTCCACTCTTGTAACCAGTCCTGCTTCTCCTCCCCCGGAGGGGAATAGGCATCTGTTTCTCACACAGAAATAAATGAACTTCAAATATGGGATTATTTCCTATTAACTGTATGAGTCAAAGGTGATGGATTTGTAAGAAATAGTTCTATTATTATTGTCTATTATGTACATATAAGGTTTTTTCCCAAAACAAATCAGATTTTGACTTCTGATACTAGCTGTTTGTTCACCATAAGGGAAGTAGTAAGAGCAAAAAAAAGGCAGCTGGAATGAATCTATGCTTTTTGAGAAACCTTACCCTTCAGTTGAATGACTGTTACCCTGAAGCAAGACAGAAGATTTAAACTGGTTTTACCTTTATGGAGAGATAAAACCTAAACCCAAAAATTTTTGCCAAATGTTTTGGGAAACTGCAGTGCAGTATTTGCATTCACAGAAACTACTATTCAATGAAATACATGATGATGTCAGTTCAATACTTTTCCATATCTTGAGAGGCTGGACCTCCAACCTCTCAAGATATGGAACCTCTACTTTTCCATAACAAAAAGGAGAAAAATAACTTCTTATTTTATTTGTTCTATACTACAGTGAAAGAGTGGCCTATGTTCTGAACAGAAATTGTATAGATAGTTTGGTTTGGACTAAAATGAGGCTTTAAAGATAATAAAAAATATGTCATTTCACAGGGACAAAAATGTTCAATCAAATGGCATAGACAAAACCATTGAAACAGCATGGCAACCAAGTCAGGTGCAGTTTAAGATAAAAAGTAGAAACTTCATTTTCTCCTTCACTATGAAATTAAGTAACAGTTGATACCATATGGTATTATTCATTACTCATACAGAACAGTCTAAATATCAAGAAGGGATGCATCTGATTTCAATAAAAATTTCAAAAGAAACAAGGTTTGGGTCCAGTGTAGATACTGGTCTGTACCTGGCAGTGCAGTTTGCCCTACAGATGGAATGAAATATTTGACCCTCTGAAATTCAAGGAAATTTATTTCAGTGCAATCTAAGAACTGCGGGAACTAAGATAACTCTACAGACAAACACATTGAGTCATGCTTAAAAAGATACAGCAGTTCTAAAGAAATCAATTTTGATGCAGTTACATGTTATTTTCTGTAAGGGACACTTCTTGATCTCAGGCTTAGATAGGTTAGATAATAGGGATTTTTATGTTTATTTAACTATCAGTGAACTTTATCTTTGAAGAAATCACAAGTTTTGATTTAAAAAAAAAAAATAAAGATATGTGTGGGTGAAGAGTCAAAGTAGTCTATCAAAAAAGGAAGAGACTAGTTCTGTCCAATAGATAACCTGAGAGGAAACAGATGATAATGTTATTCCATCTAACTCAAAATCATAACTGCATTTTAAGCTTAAGAGGAAGTGTTAATATTTAGCAATACATACTCCCATCCTATACTCACTAGAGATTAATGAGCATTCAAAGAATGAGCAAAATCTGCAATTAAAAATCATTTGTCATTTGGATGGTGTCATTGATCAACACCAGCTTTCAGGAGTATATTTGATTTCTATTAAAAATTATTTATTTTCCATTCTTAGTAAGTTTTCACAGAAAGATCCTTCAGCTCCCATTCATGTGCACACCCTGTGATCATAGACCAGACAGGAGTTGTCCATTTCTGAGCTCCTTTCTTGATAAAATTCGCATGAGCATGCTTAATAATGGTGAGAAAATAGTGTATGCTTGGTGTCCTAAAAAAAATTTATCTAAAAGTTCAGCTGCCCAATACTTCTATAGCCAAGAGAGAATTCCTAGCTT